GGTGTAACACATAGGCCGCAGGTCATCAGATGTAGGATTGTGATCGAGATAGACCCCTGCTCTTCTTTGGGTTTCTCAGAAGGAAAACTGATATGGTTTTCACAGTATCATCCTCCCACTTTATTCTACCTCTCTGCCTCTCCCATGGGCCCTTCCTCTAGTCATATACCACTGTTGCACCCAGGAAAGTTTTATGGTTACTATGTTTGAGAAGCACTAATCTACATCATTCACCTTATTTGGATAAAATGGTCAGTTGGAAAATGATCTCATTTGTTGTTCTGAAATGGGCATCCAGGGGAAGTAGGTCCCAATTGCTTAGTTGAGAGTCAAAATCAGTCTCATTTCTTAACATGATCAGACAACCGAAATAATGGTATAGAGGAATTGTGTATTAATTCAGCTTGAGTGAGGGGAGGGGAGAGGACCCACCAAACCAAACGAAGAATATTATTTATTAAAGCCAGATTTCAAAAGGTCCCCAATCACTCTTTCTTCCCTCTTCAGGATAGTACCCAGTCTTCATTTCTAATCCCTTTGTGGCTAAGCAGTTTCTTTCCTGTTGTCATGTAGACCGTAGGTCAAGTTTGGAGACTGATGGGCTGTTATGTGTTATTTCATTTGCATGGGACATAATTAAAGCCTAAATAGATTTTCTTCTCATACCGGATATATTTGAGTAGAAAATTGACTTAGAAAAGAATAGTGATGTGATTTCCTTGCATCTGTGCCTCTCAGCCGTGAACGCCCTTTCTCTGCTCCCCTCCACCTGTGTGGAGCCTCCTCACCTGTCAAGGCTCAGCCTGGATGCCCTCTCTTCCTTGCTGTCGCTTCTCCGTCACCCATTGGAAGTTATTCACACTCTCCTCCTCACCCTCGTGGCTCGTTAGACCCCCAGCTGTTCTTGCAGTTGCTCCATCCTGCCTTGTGTTATGGCTCTTCAGTGGTCCCTTCCTTCCAGTGCGTGGTAGACTCCCTGAGGCAGGTAGGGTGACCGGTTGTCCCAGTTTGCTTGGGGCTGAGGAGTTTCCTGGGATGTGGACTTGCAGTGCTAAAACCTGGAGAATCCCAGGCAAACCTGGATGGTTGGTCCCCCTACAGGGACCATAAATGATTATTCTTTTTAAATCTTCCTCCAATGAGAATAATGCATTGCACAACAGAGTTACTCAGTAAATACTTGTTATTGAATCCATGTTTCTGTAGGCCCCTCAGTCTGAGGTACAAAAACAAGTACCTCTAATTATATAAAAAACACAATTTTCCTGCTCTCTCTCTCTCTCTCTCTCACCTTCTATGGCAAGGTGCCCAATGTCCTGGACCCTCCCAGTCTTTCCAGGAGTCCTCAGAGCTGTCTCACATATGCTCAAATACAAGTTCAGGCTCCCCTAACTGCGTCAGCTGGATGATGCAAACTCACTGCTTCTGACAACAGCAAAAGTCGTCGGCACTCACTAATGCCACAGAGGCCGCTGGTGCTGCCATCCCCGCCACCGGTGCTGCCCCTCTGCCAGCACTGCCACATTAATTCCTCAGAAGTCCTGGCTTGAGCTCCCGACACCCCCTCATAATTGTGTTTTCTGCAAAGAATGCCTTTCAGTGTTTCCTGCAGCTCCATCTCTGCCCAGGGCTCACCTGTGGGTCCACAGGAGCTGGCTGGAAAGCAGGACGCACCCCAAGGATGTGCATTGTTTCACAGTCAGGCGCCCCTCTGAGAACTCAGATGTTGTTAATGAACCTGATTCCTCCTTAAGACAGTGGTTCTGAACCGGGGGGCAATTCTGCTTCTTCTACGCTGGGACACTGGGTAAGGTCTGGAGGCATTTTTGGTTGTCACAACTGGGCTGGGGGTTGGGAGTGCTACTGGTGTCCAGTGGGTAGAGGCCAGGGATGCTGCTAGACATCCTGCGATGCGGAGAACAGCTCCTCTCACAATGGGGAATTATCTATTTCAAAATGTCAGTAGTGCTGAGGCTGAGTTCTACCTTAGGACGAGTTCTCTCCTGGAGGGTATAGCACCCCCTCCAAACAGGCCTTGGATCGGCCTGCCCTCAAGTCCACCAGACTGCCCAGTCACGTCTGACTGGTTCCCATCAGGAACTCACGTTGAACCATCCTCCCCGTGTCCAGTTTACATCTGAAGTTTTGTGGAGACTTCCTCTGTCTTCCACCTGGCTGTACAAACCATGCAGCTTTGTGGTGGAGTCCTAGACAGTAAGGCCAAAGCCGTGAGATTTCATAGGTACCCCCATCATCCTGCTGAGGTACACGGATACCAGCCTGGGCTTTAGGAAACCTGGGTGGTCGGGTACCTCTCCACAGTGCACTTGTACAGACTAGGAACAGAACTCCAAGACCGGGATGTGCTTTCAGCCCCTTGGGAAATAAAATATAGGTGTAGAAGTGACTGTGATACAGGTTTTCTGACTGAAAATATGTCTTAATTAGTCTCTGTACGCTGTGTTACAATAGAGAAGGAACTGTCGTTTTCCAGAGAAAAAATATCCTGAAAAGACAAGGTCTTTGTGAAATAGAAACAGAATTTTCAGACTTCCGGGTTAAAATGGAATCATGATCAAGTAGGATTGTGGAACTAATGCAAAGTAGCCATGAAGAGCTTCCCCAAAGGGTTCTTCAGAAGTTGGGGTTCCCTGAGATTCGTTCCAAAGGTTTCAGGACAACACTACCATGGTTGTTATAGAGAGGTGCTGTCTGGGGCACCTGAGTTAGTTCAAGGGAGCCAGGCAGCATGTGTCCAGGGACAAATAATTACACCAAAGCACAGATATCTCTGTGCACACAGTCACCCACATACGTGCTCTTTCTCACACACGTCTTTCCAGGGGAGGGAGTCTAGTGAGAACTGTTTTGAACAATATGTAGTTGCGAACAGACAGACAGCAGTGGTGTTTCTATAGTGCTGTGCTCGTACTCTCATAGAGCCTGTGTTTACTGCATTGTAGCTTGAGTCATGCACAGTAGACGAGAACTTCTCAAGGGCAGAAATGTCTTATTCATTTTTTAAGATCCCTGGTAGAGTATCTGACACATGGTATGTAGTTTGTTTGGTTGGTTATTGTTTGTGGAATGAAAGAAGGAAGGAATAAATGAATAAATGGAGTGGAACCCTGGAGGTGGACCTCAGAAGCAGTTCTGCTCTGCCTTTTGGGGAAGCCTCAGCTGGTGAATGAAGAGTGAAGGTCCAGTGCATTTCTGTTTTATTCTTGAAAACAGGAAGTGCTTTGAATGGATTTTAAAATGCCAGCAAAGTTGTTACTAGAAAACGAGAGTGCGTTTTATTCTGGCCCAGCAGGGGGCCTCTCCTGATTCTGGGATGGATTTTTTCCCACTGCATACACAATTGTAAAGCACGGTTTTTCGGGCGCTTAGCACTGTGTGTGTGCTTTTATTCTGCCCTGGCAGGAAGTTAAAGCAGTAGCTGGCAGGTTTGCAAAAGGGATCTTTTATGTGCAGAGCATCTGTTGTCAGTAGGTGATGCCTCAGTCTGCAGGGACCGGGGCTCTCAGTCTTGAAGCACGTTGTTCCAGCCCAGGTCTCTGTTCCTGGTCCCTCGTCTGCCTCCAAGAGCTCCGCCGTCAGTCTGGGTTCCAGAGGCAGCTCTTACCTTTCTTCCACAGAGGAGACACAGAATTCTCAGAACCACATCTGTGACCAGGTGAGCACTGCATGCCTCTTGCCCAGGGTCAAGATAATCTTCCCTGTTATTTCTTCCCTCTGGAATTTTCTTCCTCCCCTCTATCTTTTAAACCCTGTCCATCCTTCAAGGCCCCAGCCATTCCAGCCCTCAGGATTTGCTGTGCTTTCTGAATTTGTATGCTTTTTATCAGTGCCACGAGGTGTCATTTAATTTGAGCTCATTTTATTTCTCAGTTTTTTGAGAGCGGGAACCATGTCTTCTATTTCTTTGGATTTCTCCCAGAACTCTAGCTAGGCAGTCACTCCTTTTTGATGTCATTATAAAAAGAATTGAATAAATTGGCCTCTGCAGTTAGAGCTCAGGGATTTCTGGAAAGCTGTGATGTGATTGTTGTTTGGGGGTTAAGGGGAGTAGCCAACATGGAGACAAAAGGAATAAAAGAGAGGGACATGCAAAATAACAAAACACTACAAAATATCATCCCACCAATAGAATCTTTCCATTAACTTGCTTCCAGAAAACTTCTGTTAAAATTATGTACACACACGTACATGTATGTATATACATACATGTACACATAAACGCGTATTTACATACACACATATATATACAAGTACTTTCACATACACATATCTGCACACACATTGACACGTGTATTACGTGTGTGTATGTGAAGCACACCCCCAGCAGCGGACCTTGCCAGTGAGCTAGGAGCTAGCGTGGAGAGAACAGGACATGGGCGAGGGGGAGAAATGGGGGAGGAGGGAAGGGTGAGCTACAGCAGCTGTGCTTCTGCCTTGTCGTTCCCTCTGACAGTGTGACACTGGGTGTCACCAAGGGTTTCTAGAGTCCTAAATGGAAGAATGCCTTTTGACCTTTGCTCTTCAGTCTTGAAAACCACCTGTGTTTGGCCCACACGAGAAAAGTCATAGACAGGATTCTGGTCTTACCCTCCGTGGACTTGGGCTTTCTCATCTGTGAAATGGAGTTTGTGTCTTCTGCGCTTTATAGGCTTTCTGTGGCAGAGAAGGTCAGGACCCAGCGCCCTTTCCATGACACCGGATGCCCTGACGGGCTAGGCCTGTGCAGAGTGGACCTGTGGCCTCTCGCGGCTGAGTTTTCATTTACCAGATCTGCACATTTAAAATTCGTCGTTTTCATGGTAAAATAAGTATGAATACAGGTAATTGTGATGGCTAGCCAGAAACTCCCATCTCTGCTCTCCTGGCAGTTCACTTAGTTTACATCAAGATCCTTTTGTACTTTACAAAATAGCAGGCGAGGGCCAAACAAACACCTATTGTGGAAACAGGACCAGACGTATGTGTGTTTTGTTTTCTAGGGAGATGTGCATCCAACAGGATGGGAGAATTCATCTCACTGTTGTTTACTTTGGGAAAGAAGAAATGAATGAGGTCAAAGGAATACTTGAAAACACTTCCAAGTAAGTGTGACGCGGAGCTGTGATGAGGTGGCACGGGCATGGGAGCACAGCCGAAGGTGACACTTCTCTAGTTCTGTTTTCCTGACGCTCTGGGCAAACTGGGAGACGGATTGGTTGCTGGACGTGTGTCGGGAAGTTCTGCGCCCTCTTTCCCCTGAGACCACCCGCCTGACGCCGGTCCTCGCTGGGCAGGCTGTTGACTTTGACAGTTGAGATAAACTGCCCTGAGCAGCCAGGTGGGGAGCACAGGCTTCCTAGGGCTTCCACGTGACTGGATGTCATCACTCTGAGGGCTGCAGGTGTGGGGACCTGATGTGGCAGAGTGGGAGGCAGGGGGGCACTGCTGTGCAGTGAGCTCCGTCTCAGCCATGGCTTGTGAGGCTAACAGTGGTCTCCATGCTCCCATCTCATCCGCTCAGCATGTGGTCTCAGCCTTTTGACTTTCGTTCATTATGTATTTTGAGAGATGAGTGAGAAGCCAGAGTGATGGCTGGGACAGGATCCTTGATTAAACCTGCTTGGTTGATTGGAAATTATTTAACCGAAAACTTGAGACTTAGGGTTGTATATTTATACCTCGTTAATCAGTTGCATGGAGGAAAAATGTATTTAAAAGCAGCAGAGATGGATTTTTCCCTACCAAAACAAACAAACAAGTATTTATTTAATAAATAAATATCTGTGGCATTTTCTACTAGTGAGGAAGCCAGAAAGGTACTGCCACGCTGCCTCTGGTTTGCCACGGAGGTTGGCAGGGCCTCAGATGAGTACTCGGGTGGCTGGTTTCTCCATAAGTGAAGCTTGGAGGGTGGTCAGTAGTACTAGTGGCAGAAATCATCTGAATATGTCCATATGGTCTACGTGTAAACAGGGCCCTCTGTTTTGAGTTTCTAAATGGTAGTCGGATGATAGTCAGAGGATAAGATTCCAAGATTGAGTGCACTTCTTGTGTTTATTTTCATGCTTTGTTACTAATTTTCCATCAATGGGCACAGGATCAGAATGTTAATTATAGTTATTCAAACATTCTGAAGCAGCCCACTGGCCAAATTTTGCCCCCTACTTGTTTTTGTAAATAAAGTTTCATTGGGATGCAGGCAGGCTCATTTGCTGACATGTTATTTATGGTCGCTTCCTGCTACAACCGCAGGGCTGAGTAGTTGGGACAGCGACTGTATGACTCATAAAGCCTGGGCTCTTTACTGTCTGCTCCTTCACAGAAAAAGTTTTTTGCTGACCCCTGCTCTAAAGCAATAAGGAGTTAAGAGTTTAAAACTAGTAACTGCTTAAAGCTATGGCCCCTATTGAAAGGAGATCAAAGAGAATAAAATAATTGAATATCCTAAATGTAAGTGAAATAGAAATCTCTTGACTCCAATGCATTGCAATATCCTTTTCATCTCTGCTTAGGAATGAGGAGTGTGAATTATCAGAATTAATGTCCTCTGCTCAGTGGATAGGTTTTAACTTCTCTGAAAGTATCCATCCCTGGGCGTGGATCTTTTTAAAGTTTCCCAGATGATTCTAACTTGTAACTTGCAGCCAGCATTGAGAACCATTGTCTGGGAAAGTGGCAGTCCACCCCAGGGCTGCCCATTGAGAGGCCTTGGTTGCAGCCAGCTGCCCCATTCCAAGGTATTTTTAAGTAGCTATCCAGGTGACTCTGCAGTGCAGTCAAGATTGAGAACCTCAGTCCTATTGAGTCTGGCACCTTCCGAGCACATCAAAGGATGACCAGACATTTGCTGATAGTACGTACAACCAAATTCACACAAGTCTGATGGATGAGTGGAGGGCCAGGTTAGCCATTATTATGGGAAATACACTTTTTAGTGACTGGAATGCTTAAGGACCTTATTACCAAGGCAGCCTTCTCCGTATCAAATTACCTGGCAAGCTGGATTCTCAATCAGAAGGTTACTTGGTGAACAAAGAATGAATTGAATCTGATTAAGACAAGTAAAATCATTTGAGTGATAGGGATGGTTTACTTAAAATTTTGGAAAATTTCCAGAGATTAATCCACCCATAACTGAGAACTTTGTGCTAGAGACAGAGTCGATCAGTGCTTTAAGCAGGGCTGCAGAAACTGGTGAAATTAATTGGACACCATTTTTCTGTGTTGATGTCCTCATTCTGTGAACTGGTGGTATCTGCGGGGTTGATGTCACTGACACACTGATTCGTGTCCTACCCCTCCATGGTGTTGCTTTGATCAGACTGCCTCTGCCAGGGATGCCCGCCCTCTGCCACCAGCCTGAGTTGATGCCACACGGCCACTCCCCCTCCATGAATTTTCCTAATCGCCTGTTGCCCAGCCTGGTACCCAGAGGGGCTGTTACTTCTAACCTTGTCTTGACAACTTACTGCCCGCAGCCAAATGGGGGCATAGTTTGCCCCTTTGTCTTCTCTCCTGTGTTTCTTCTGCCTGGCATTCCCTCCACCCTCCTTTCTGCGTACTCAAACCCCACACCCTTCCATGCCCACCTGATCTCCACTCCTCCCCTCTCTGACCTCTCACTGTATTCTCTTTCAACAGCTCTTATATCTGGCACTTGCCATATCATCTGGCTGTTGACCTTTCTTTCTGTCATCCTAAGTAGATTCTAAGCTGCTTAATAAGCACTACCATATCACTTGCCTCTTTGTAATCCAGCACTTAGCGTTGGCGTTACTCAGAAAATGTGCAGCGTTTGCTCCTCAAGACAAGGGTGATGCCAGGTATAGAGTCAATCTGTACACACAGTAATCTGTATGAACACTTATATAAGAGCTTTATCTAAATATCATTTTTATCATCCTTTTAAGATGATAAAACTTTTATTGAAACACATCTTATCTTTGAATAATAATAATAACCGTTATGATTATTTACATGAATTATCTTATTTAACATTCACAGCAACCTTATGAGATAGATGCTGTTATGAGCCTCATTTCATGGATGAAGAAACGGGCTTAGAGAGGTTGTTCCTCAGGCTGCCATCCCTGACACATGAGAGAGCCAGGATCTGAACCTCGTCAGTTCGTTTCCAGGACTCCTGATCTTAACATTCCACCAAATTTTCCCTCCAATGAACTAATTATTAGTTGAAAGTAAATGGATTTGATATCAGTCTAAATAAAATTTATTTGGATATCGGTATTGTTATTAAACTGTTCTAAATCTAGCTAAATGTATATATTTTAAGAATATCTTTTAAAAATCTAGTTTAATGACTAGTGTGTGGTGTTTTTCTCTCTCTCTAGGTTTATGCTTACTCAGCTGGGCTGTACATTTCAGTCGACTGCTATGGATCAGCGTTTTGCAAACTGTAGTTTGTGACTCATTAGAGGGCTGTGAAATAGGTGTAGTGGTTATGTCCAGTGTTTTCAAAAAATTGAAATAGAATAGGATAGAAAATACCAGAGTGTATCACAAGTAGTAAGGATAAGTATTGTTTCACGAAACTTTAATTTCAGTGTGTGTGTTCACGTGTGTGTGTGTGTGTACTGTGTCGTGATGTATAATATATTCCTCTGTCAGGGATGTGGTCAAAATATTCAAAAGCCACTGCCATAGATAACCGTAAAATCAGTTCTCAATATCTGATCGTTCTTCCTCAAGGTTTTCTGTATTAAGCTTCAGTTAATTTCAGATTAAAGCCTAGCTCAGTGGTTCTCAAATATAAAGTGCTTTAAAATAACCTGGGGTGCTTTTTAAAATGCAGATTCCTGGGATCCAGCCCAAGAAATTCTGAGTCAGTAGGCCTGAGATGAAGTTTGGGAACCAGCACTGAGAATGAGTTCCTCATATGATGCTGGTGCGGGTGGTCCCTGGCCCACACTTTGAGAAGTACTGGCCTCGGTAGACATTTGCTTGGAGCTATGTATAAGAAAAAATAAAAAAAAATTGTAACTGGTAGATGAATTGGCATGAGTTGACATCTACTACATTGCAACTTCATCTTTGTCCAGTCCTGAGAATGCAAAGGCATCTTTTAGAGGAATTATCTCTGAGGTCGAAGTACTAGAAGTGAGACAATGCCCTGCCATTGCAAGTGTGTGATGTAAGAGAGGCGTGTGTGTGTGCGCGCACACGCGTGTGTGTGTTGTCAGGGATGCGCCTTGCCGTGGTATGTGTCAGAATTTCATGCCTCTGGGAAGGGATTTGTTTGACATGTACCCTCATGAAGATTTTATCAGGGCATCCCAGAAGAAACTTCAGGGGAAAGGTTTTGTTCTGTTTCTGAAATTTCAGCAGAATTTGTTTTAATTTTTTCTTAAACAAGGAACTTTTAGATAATCTCATCTGCTAAAATGAAAAAAGCAACATAGTGAATCCCTCCTAAGCAGATGAGGAGTCTTGGGCCCTGGGAAGCCCCTCACTGATTAAGGCGGCACCTCAGACCCGTGGCTGTCTCACCCAGCATGGCCAGAGAAGGGGCCAGGCATGATTCTGCGTGGTGTACCAGCTCTTTAGGGAGATGTGCCTGTATTTTTAGGCATTCTAAATTGTTCCTTGGGGGATTCAAACATGGCATATAGATTATAGTGTTGTGACAATGTTAAATTTCCTGAGTAAGATTATGAAATTATTATAATGTTATAAAGGAGAGTGTCCTGGTTCTTGGGAAATACTTATCTTGGAGGCTAAAGTTGTCATGATGTCTGAAACTAGCTCGCAGATGATTCAGAGGAAGGAAGGCAGGGAGGGAGGGAGGGAGGAAGCAAGGAAGGAAGACAGGCACAGTGTTAACACTTGGTGCATTTAAGTGAAGGGTCTGTGAGTACTCATATTATTCTTACATTTCTGAAGGCTTAAAATTTTTCCAAATAAAAATATTGGGAAAATGTATTATGAAAGAAATTAAATGACATTAAGTTCATACAATGAAATATAACGCAACAGTTAAACAAAAGAAAGGTGATGTCAGTGAGAATGATGAAATAAAGACCTCTAGAAACACTCTTCTCCATAAAAGGAATGAGAAAATTGTTAAAAAATGGTCCAGAATCAA